CCTAAAGGATTCTATGATTCTACTCCTTACTGGATATTTTGAGGACTTCCTAAGGGGAATTCTGGATATTAATGGTTGTGTGTATGACTTTGACATCAGTAAGCCTTACCAAAGAAGAAAATCATGAAGAACATACAACAGGAACTTAACTAAAGTTTGCCAGGAGACAGGAGGAGTGCCACAAATCCATCTGGATGAGCCCAGACAAGTGAGTGGTCTGCTTTAAGAACAGAATTAAACAGAAGTTGCAGAATTCTCAGCAAACATTAACACCATCTGAATCCTTTTCTTTTAAACTATTCGGAGAATATTTACTTTCTTTTGGTAGCACAAAAAAAAGGACTCTGGTCATTCACATTTAGGGAACAAAATTTTGATTTAATCTGTCTACAAGACACAAGTCAACAATGGAAAAAAATAGTGGATTGGATGATACAGCATATACAAACACATGCTGGCTTGGAGAGTTCTCAGGAAAAGTAATCCAAGTGAAGTGGATCAACATAATAGACTTCACATCGTAACAAAAAAGCCAGTTCAGCACAAGGTATTTTTAATACAAGTTGAGGGTAACAAGTTTTGGACACTATCTTAATAAAACAAAAGAACTTCTCTGCATTCAGAGTATTTCAGAGATGCCATCATAATTACTGAAGTCCTCACTCCCATGTATTTTGATCAGTCCTAATGCTTCTCATTACAGTTACTGAAATTAACACCTATACAATGACACTCAAATATATCAGTTTTCCTTGGTATCTCTATCACCACCTTATGTGGTACCACTCCCATGTATTTTGATCAGTCCTAACGCTTCTCATTACAGTTGCTGAAATTAACACCTATACGATGACACTCAAATATATCTGTTTTCCTTGGTATCTCTACCACCACATTATGTAGTACAAGGCAAGTCTATACTAGAGAGTCAAAGACACCAACAGGCCATATTCATAACAGAAATTTTAATAAAAATTGTAATAAAATGTCATGTAATAAAAACTGTTACATGAGCACCAAGTCTCAGCGCTTTAAGTTTTAGGGAGTACTCAGAGCCTGAAATACTACTGCTGAACAGAGAGAGCCAGCAAAACTAGAATTAATAGAGATAAGCTATATTCAGAGTTTTCTAAACTGTACTTGGAACACAGAAGTCAGAAAGACTTGTTCTCAGACTTGCAAAGAAACACTCCTGATCAGTTCAGGTGCATCCACTCCTTTCTCAGCCTCCCATCAAGAACAGATTAGGTTTTCTGAACAAAAACCATCCTAATAGTGGATGATCAATCTGTGGTCCTGCTAGTTTTACCTGGCCCTCAGCAGACATAGGTCAAAATCATCAGCACCACTTGTCTTCACCCCTGATGTCAGATTATACCCATGCATAGTGTCACCAGTGCTTGCAATGCTGCAGTCATCTCCTCAGTACCACAATTTGAGGTCCTGGTTCTAAACAACTATCAAAACCATTTTCTTTCATACAAAGACAATACCTAGATTCTATATGTTTGTTAGCTGTAGCATTAGGAATGACTTCCTATGCATACAACACACACTACTGACAAAGATTAAAAACACTGGAATCACAGTGAAAGATTTTTTCAGCTGAGAGCATAAAATTTACTCAGTGTGTAGAAGATTTTCTAAGTGTATTTTTTCTTCAGTATTTGAGGCGAGAGAAAAACATTCCCAAGTATGATCAGAAAAAACAGTCCTAAAAGAGTCTCCAAAAATCACTAGCCACACAGGATTCCAAAGAAGTCAGCTTGGCATTCATTGTCCTTGGACAGTCTGAAGCCAATGACAGAGGTATCACTTGTCTAGGAGAATTGCTCACTGATCATTTGCTGGAAGGCCAAAAGCATAAACAAACCTGTAGCAACAATGGTCATTCACACATGCTTTTAAAAAGCCTGCCAGCAATTGTGCAAGTAGTAAAGGCCACACAGATTAATTAGGGTCTACTCCAAGCCCTGCCACAGAGCTGTCAAACACACTAAGCAGATCATCTGAAAAGCACTAATAGAGCACATGAGCACTCCTCCTGTCAGACACTGTTATCTCTTAAAACCAGATACATTTTTAAAAAAGCATGAACCTTCCTGATTAACAGATAAATGAAAGAAATCAAGAAAGAACAAATGCACTAGCATTCCTGACTGGTGCTCACATTCATCTACTACTTTCTAAAATCAATTAAAATTTTAAGAGCTAAAAATCCCACCCTCTGTCGGAATGAATGACAGGCAGCATTATTCAGCATACTACCTACAAAAGGACTTTTGTCATGTGTCTTGAACTGTATTTTTCGTAGGGGTTGTGCAATTTTGTTTATTTTTGGTGGTTTTCACCTCTTTCATGGAGCACAGGCAAAAAAAGACCTTATCTTAACAAAATGGTTTTGAGGTGCTTTTCATTTCCTTCCAGTTTCTATCTACAACAGGGAGATCAGGGCTTTGGGGGTTCAGCTGATTGCTATCTGTGCAAAGTGCAATCTGCAGAGCACTCTTTACCAGGTATGTGATCACAGGTTACAGGGGAGTAACAAAACACAGAAAGCTTAGGAGACAATGGCAGCAGAACACAAGTTTTTATTGAAGACAAGAACACTTCCAAGCCCAAATAAATAATACTCGGCAGCAATTTTAAGAACTATATAAGCACAAGTAAAATAAAACTCCTTCATACAACCACACACTGCACATGCAAAACTGTGGAAAGCCACTAAATTACCATAAATCAAACAGCTCTTGCATTTGTAGTCAATGGAAAAACTAGCCAAATGTTTAAACATCAAAAGAGTTTTACAAAAGTTGTTCATGAAAACATTAGCATGGACCTTATATCTGACCTAATTACCACTCACTTGAGCATTTAAAAGAATTTAACCCTAAGAACTTGGTATTATTAAATCAGCAACTTGCTTGAGAAACAAAACAGCTTTTCACTGTTCTTGTAATTCACTAGTACAAGCCATCCTACTGTTCTTCCAATGTGATAATCCTTCAATTTATTTGTATTATTTGGTTACATAAGCTCTACATACTCCTGAGATTCTTGTAATGAAGTTTAATCATTAAATGACTCCATGAAACCCACCAGCACAGGACTCCTGTAGTTGTAATCAAGTTGTTTCTGCATAATATTACTCACCCCATATTGGCAAGTCATCAATATACATCTGGTACCAATAGTGATTTTTGATAGCATACACAAAGGCATCTCTTTTTCCTTTGTCCAAGTCAATTTCACAGTAAGTAGTCTGCATTACATCATCTGCAAAAAATTAAAGCACCATTAGGGATTTATTAATGAGCTGGCTCAAACCAAGGCAAACCAAGCAAATGGAGGAATGGATACTGCTGTCTTTAACCCCTCTTGGCTACCCTCAAAAAGGTAACGAAAAAGGAGATTTAAAAATAAACCATTAAAGCAATTACACAATTGTTTTTGTAATTCTATCCTTCTGCATGCAGAAGATTCCCACACTTGACTGGATAAGGCAAAGTTTGAAAGCATCCTTTTGCTACTACACCCAAACTCAATGGAGATCCATTAGATGATGGCAGCTTCACCTGGACAGATCATGAGACCTCTTCTGCTTTAACAAAAGATATGAAATTATTAACCAATACCTAAAACTGTGCACAACAGTAACTCTCCATTTTAGTATAATCAGGCTGACTAGGAATACTGTATATTAAAACTAACCTAAAGTTCTCAGAAATTTTCAAGAAACTACCATAGAGGAAGGATCAAAGCAGGGAAGCTAAAGGTGGAAAAAAAGACAGAAGACAGAAAAAGGAATAATGCAAAGAATGCACAAGAAGCTACAACTGGAAATAAATCTACCTCTTCAAAACAGAAAACTACTTTTCCAATCTACAATCCACAAGTAAAGCAATTAGCAGCCATTCTTTCACATCCCAGTTTCCTTCCCTATTGTTTCCTTTCCAGGTGGAAAAAAGCAAAAGGGCTCATGTTCACAACAATTCAGGAAGGAACAGATTTAGAGACAAAAAGCCCCCATCCACTTCATGTAAATAAAACCAGCTCCCCCTCTCTTCTCTTCTCATCATGTGATCACAGAGGATCCATTTGTAGTAGATAAAAATTAAACTGTGCCCCAAGTACAGCTCAAAGAGGTATCAAAATTCAGCTTACTTTCTCCCATATGCTAACTGCAACAAAGTTTAAAAAGTAAATCAAATCACCTGCAAAGACAAATCAGTAAGTAGCATATTTCCAACACAAAACATGATTTAACTGAAAACAACATGTAAAAATTAAAATATGCACAGTCTGATCACCTGGTCATTTGTTTGACATCTGGTGAAGCAAAACTAAAGCAAAGCCTGGTGAAGCAAGACAGTAAGAAGTCAGGTGACAGAAGTCCTGCTTAGCTGCAGTGATTTCCTATAGCCCTGGAGAAAACAGCATTCCTGGCTCTTCTGGAATGGATGCACCTCTTTCTCCTACTGCTCATGCAAATGTTAGTATTTTCTAGTTTTGTTTCTTCCAAGACCTAATGAATGTGCTCTAAGCTTCATTTCTCACTGAGGGAATAAAAAAATATTTTTTCCAATTGACTTATTAGGCAATAAAAATTTTGCTGAGGAAAAAAAGGAAAAACAAAACCATTCATGTCATAAGTGTTCCAAGAAAACTTTGAGACCATGGATTATTTTCAGGACTTGTACTGATACACTCAATACAAAGGGAAATATTGATACACTCAATACAAAGGGAAAGGGAAACCACTAAAGTTGGCACCACAGCTGAAAAAGACTTACAAATCCAGGCCTCAGTTTGCATTTATGCTTCTACTGAGCTGGATCCTATGTTCCCCAGAAAAATGTGTCTACTTGGCACTTCTTTACAGTAACACATTATTTTTGAGTCATCTTGACATTAATTAAAAGAAAAAAAAAATCAGATTTCCTATCTTATAGACTTGTTGCTAAATTGGGATTAAATCTTTCCAAAATACTCAGTATTTAATTGTCACTCTCCAAGTCTCATGCTATACTCAAAGGGTAACACCTAATGTTAAGTTTTCTTAATTCACAAAGGATTGTGAACACACAGAGGTCAAATGCAAATATTTCTGCTTCTACACCATGAATTAAAATAAAGGTAAGGTAGAAACTGGTAAAGATTGTTAAATGCAGCATTACCCAGTGCTGGAGCACAGAAGCTTGACCTGGAGAAGTGCTCCAGGGACCAGGCTGGATTTAGGTGACTCTCTCCTCGCTGGTCCACACACAGTGGTACCAACACAGCTAGAGGAGAACACAGGGATAGGAGCAAGTGCTACTAGTGAATAAAAATCACATGAACTACAAGTGTTCTTTGTAGAGACCTCTCCCATTTTATAGCCTGAATACAGAAGCCTTTGTTTGCAGTTATTAACCAAAACACATTATTCCATAGGCTTTCAGACCTCTGGAATTTGCCCCAGTCTTTTTTTTTTTCTTGTGCATGTGTGTGATTTCTTATTACTAACTGATATGAGCCATTCTGCATCTAATACTCTAGGATGTAAACAGTGACTTTTGCTGCTGCAACAAAACAAAACAAAAGACTGAAATATCATTTGAAGTGAAATGACTGTACTAACATCTGACCAGGCTGCAATAAGCAACATGCCACCAACAAAATGTCTTCATCCATATTAAAAGATTTTACTCCCAATATTCAGAATACATCACAAAGGTATTACAATCAACTATGGACCAACTACGTCACAAGTTATTCCAGGGCATATACATAAAAACTCAGCAGAATCATCAGAAACAATCTCATCCAATTCTTGCACAGATGTGACTTCACATACATGATTTCAGCCTTACCACACAGTACAGTTCCTCTCACCTCACCCTAGAACAGCTGAAGGCAAGAAGAATGAAGACAAGTGCTCCCTTCTCCAACCACTGAGAATGAAGAAGCTGTCATTTAGTTACAGGACAAGACTAGATGGTTAAGCTTAAATCCACTGTGTTAAATGGTTAAATGATTAAATGGAAATAGCTTAGAAAAGCATTGGGAAGCTGAAGTCTACTTCATTACAGTCTTATCAGCTCTAAAGTTTTGCATGTTAGTTCTTATTCAAGTTATGGTGTTGTGTGTATGCCAGAGTGTGAAGTTAGATGTGTTTTGTGTTGTGCCTGCACCCTGGATGTCAAAGAGGTAATATCTGCTATATAATACAGCTTCACTAACATCAGTAGCACATTAAGCAAATTTTAAAAGGGTACAAAAGCAACACTGATTATGAAAGCAGGTGCACTTATGCCAGACTGCAAATTTCCTATTAACAGTCAGATAACTGGGTTTTATGCAAACAGAAAATCATAAAACCATTTAGGTTGGAAAAGGGCTTTAAGACTATCGAGTCCTAGCACAACACTGAAAATCATCCTGAATGGCTGTCATATTTTCTAGAGGTGTTGCAGAAGGAAATCTTGGGCACGGAGTTCTCACTTAGAAGTATGATCATTTAATCAAATTTCTAAGTAAGTGCAAAATTAATATACTTAAAAAAAGCATTTTCCCCTTTAAACTAACCTTCTCTAATTGGTATTGTATGGCCAACTCAAAAATTAATTTTCTAACTGAAGTCACTATGATTCCAATGTTCAATACATTTAATAACTTTATAGGTCTCAGGTCTGACAGAGGGTGTTATTGAAACATTTGACAAACTTTTACAAACAACATATTGCATGAAAATCATGATTAATCTAGATTTAGCTTGACAAGACAATTAAGTCAACTGAAAAGTTGAAGTTATATTGTAACATAAGTGCATGTTAAGAATTAATTACTTTTTTCACAAAGATATTTATACAGATTTGAGACCTGTGATATAAGTACAACATTGCTCATACTTGGGACCATACAGGATAGCTGGGTTTCCCTTCTGTTACAGGTATCCTTTCACCTGACAATTTCAAATACAAAAAGAAACACTACTTCATGGATGCCTGAATATGTTCTAGATCTGCCCCATCAGACACCACTACAAGCACTCAAGGGCAAATCTCCATTCTCAGAACACATTTCTTCAGAGCCCTAATACTCTTATTGTACTTCAAAAAATATAGGTGAGGCCCACTTATTCAACTGATAATTTTACTTAACACAGTCCACAGTACTTCAGCTACTGACAGATGCAGCCTAAGGAATTCTTCAAGTATGAGGAATAAATGCAGTTTCACACCTGCTCCTGCTGTCCTTTCCAACCATGTTGAGAAGAGAACCGTTTTTTAATGCAGAAGCTAATTTATCAGAACAATTCTAATTCCCTATTCACTCCAGAAAAAAGCATAGAATCCAAATTTTATTGAATTTTGTAAACTTTTATGACACTAATTTAAAGAGGAAAAACACCTGCAATTGTTAGTCTTGCCACAATCCCACACACTCATGAGGAAAAACGTGATTACCTGTTAACTCAGAACCTAGAGCTGTTCCACACACTCATGCAGATCTGTACAAGCCTTTCAGATAGTCAGGCTGACATTTAGAAAAGCAGGGCTCTATAGTTAAATACCTAAATCTAAATTATTATTGCAAGGTACTTGAGCAGCTCTTAATTATTTCAGCTGTATCTTTTTCTTAAGAATATATGAACTTATTGGTGCCAAAACATAAGCTTTTATTTAAGAAAAAAACAAACACACACACAAATCACCAACAACTCAGTTTCTATTTTGTTGCAGAAACTTCTAGACCACTGGTGCAGAGGTGGGGGCATGGATCTGTCACAATGAGATAAAGTTTATCCATTATAAAAAGAAAAATCCAATTTCACTGATACAATGCAGTTAAAATTATTTTTAAAAAGAGTGAACACCACTTCAGTCAAGACCAAGATCCATTATTAAAGAGTCACCAAAAATCTGACCTACCATCACATTTCAACAAACAAACTGGAAAAGAATTCTTTATACTAGTGCTAAATTTTAAGGGCTGGTGTATAAAATTCATATTTTCCTACATGCATTGGATATAACTGTGCTGGTTTTATGACAGCTTTTAAGCCTGTAAAGAATCAATCTCAGATAGCAGTCCTTTGCTGTTTTGTCTGGGTTTTGGGGTTTTTTTTTGTGGTTTTGTTTGGTGGGTTTTTTTGGGGGCTTTTGTTGTTTTTGTGGGGTTTTTTTTTGTTTCTTTGTTTGTTTTACACTTTAGAACCCTGTTTATCAAGGGGATTTGGATTTCAACAAATTTTACATCATTTTATATTAAATAAGTACTAAAATAATGGAATCATTAAGGTTGGAAAGGACCTCCAAGATTAAGTCCAACCATCAAGCCAACAATAACATTAACACTAATAACTACTGTTACTATTAAACTATACTTGTTATTCTGAAATTTGGAAAAGAATATCCTAATATTTTTAATAGCAAAATAGAGTTTGACTCCCATTCAGATTTCACTTCATGGAACCTCTGCTAGAAACACTAAAGCATCTCCCAATACAGAAACTGCTGGACGCCAGCTAACAGCAAAGAGATTATAGTCTTCATCATTTACCCAGAGGACACAGAATGTTAAGGGGAATAAACTGGAAGTGTCCATGGACAACTTCCCAGATCATGTACACTGCCCTCTTTTGGGACTGTATGCCCCAAACCATGACATACACACAGCCATGGAGCAGCTACCATGTACCTTCTGCTTTACAGGAAACCCCTGACCTGCAGCCCCTTTGGTGAGGTGTTAAAGTCACTGCAGATCCAATACAGATTTTCATTTGACACAGAGGAACAGTGTGTTAACAGTAACAAAGAGTTTTGAAAAGCAGCACAGGACACAGATGAAGAAAAGTTCTCCACCTGCTGGGAAATGTATCAGTACATCAAAAACTTATACTTACAAGCCACAGACAACCTTGTAGGGTATTTCAAGCAACAGTAAAAAAAACACACTCAGTTGCTAGCAGCAGCAAACTTTCCTTTCTTCTAGTTAAAAAAAGGTTTTAAGGATCTGTGGGATTTTTTGACTAAATGCACTTGCAATTGCTTACCTTTAAATTTGATGTCCAGACCACTAAATTCCAATTCAACTCCTTGAAGTGCTTCTCCTAGGGTTTCATGGTAATGGCTGATGCTTTTTTTTGATCCCACACAGAAAGGAAGAGAGAAGTATTTGTATGTTTCTTGGCGATTGTGGTAGGGTCCTACTGTATTCATCCACAGAACAACTTCCTCTTTATCTTGGTACTGAAAGATAAAGTTATTGAGTTAGGTGAGAAGCCCAGCAGAATAAAGATATTCAAGAAACTCTCTCTTGATTCATATTACCAAGGCAAGACTGTTCAATCACAAGCAACAGCTACATTTATAGACAGTTGAGTATTTCTGTCTTTCGGATGTCAGGAATTCTAGGACAAGATTCTCAGGCTGCTTCCATACAGAAAAAAAAACCTTAGTTGATCACACAGCTTCTTAGAGCTTATCACTGAAGTATCAGAAGAGAAGGACCCACACAAATTTAATAGAGAAGCAAGAGATGCAGAAAAAAGTGGAGAACAGCAAAAGTCTCAAAAATGAAGAAGCATTTACAAATTTTTTGGAAACACACATCGGTTAAAGGCAAAACTACTTATGTCAACTGAAAGAACAGGAGTATCAGACTAACATCTTCTTAATCTCAGCAAATAAATCAAGCAATCTACCCGTAGAGACAGGTACACTATTTTCTTAAAATGCAACTCGTTTTCATTCTTGTAATGGTATAAATTACATTCAAAATTCCCAGAACAGTGCAACACCTCACAGGATGCACTAAAATTAAACTGTGGCATACCTACAGTAGCCAAGAGACAAAAATGTCAGACAGGAGGGCTGTATTTTGATGAATTTCTAACATTCTTATAGGGTAAAACCAGAAGAGCAAGGACTCTTGTGGCTGCCATGAAATTCTTTGTGGGAATATCCACACTTTACTTCCCACAGCTACCACAGGCCACAAAAACTTAAACCTTGGCTAGAAGCCAGTAATTTTTGTCAAGACCTTATAACTTTTCAACAACAAAAAAGTCCTGAAAATCATTCATCTATCAGTATTCAAATACTGCATGTACTCAGGAGAATCAAGTGATTTGAAATCATTATTTGTACTGCATCTGGACACGGTATCAGGTTTGCTGGCTAGTACACAGATTCTCACCCAACAACTTCTTCATCTACTGTAATTTCAGCAAATTAGGTAGGACCTTGGTCTAACTTTTTAAGGCAGCAAAAAACTCCTACTTATAACTACACAATTGCAAACACAACCACCATATAGATCCTGATTTTTTTTTTTTAAGTACAGAAGAATAAAGTATTATTTTAAGACTAAGATGTAAGCACAGAAAACACTGGAGAGGAAAAGAAAGTCAAACACTAATTAGCCATATTTCATACCCCACAGATGAAATACTGACTACAGTTCTGCATCTCCATTTTTAACAAATGAACAGAAGTTCTTCAACTCCATTTATTCCAAATAACCGCAGTCATACCAACAGGTTAACTCAGAAACAGCTATACATGGAATGCAAAAAATTCTTCAGATGAGGCGTTTTAAAAGTTAAACTCAGGAATTTAAACATTCTTTGGGAAATAATTTAATTCCTTTACACTAACATCACCTCACAAACCTCATCTTTTTTGTTTACAAATAAGCACAAAGGTCATTCCAGCCTCTTACATGAGCGACCTCCAAAAATAAACTTTAAATATCTTAACTAATTTCATTCTGAGCTGCAGCAGAGTTCAAACACCTCAGAGTTTCACAAAGCTGCTGTTTGCAGAGCACACACTTCAGAATATTTCTGATAAGTAAACAGCATCCATGAGGGAGCAAAGAAAGAGTAAACAA